CATTGATTGTGACACACTTACGTCCAGTTAGTCTGGTATATTGTCAACCAGTTTAAATCATTTATCTGGTATATTTTATGTATAAATACTTTTTGGTGCTCAGGTATAAATAATTTTAAATGTAATTTTTGGGATGTTCCTGGTAAAAATGAAATACCAGTGACAATAAAAAAGGTTTCATAATGGCTATATCTGTGTATTGGTGTACATGGTGGATCTTGGTGTCTCTGATGCTGTTTTCATTCAGCTGGATTGGACTGATTTATGAAAGGGATACAGAATAAAGACAATTAAGTAAGCACGATATTCTGGACTCTTTAATTTCATTACATAAGATTGGATATTTAATTTAGATAATTATTTGTTTGTTTGTTTTTACACTAAACAACACCCTCCCACCGCCATTACAGGCCCAGTCCAACCATACTATTTATCACATTTTCATTACTAAGTTTTAGTACATCGTAGTTTTTTAAATTAATTAAAAAATACTTTTTGACATATGCAGCCTAAACTGTTTCACAGAAGTCTACATGTGTTATCTATCCCAGCAGTGCATCAAATTATACACACTTATGTGTGAAATGTTATTTCTTGTGCTTCTGTCTATGAATTTTGTTATCTGCCACAGTTTATAGCAAAGCATTCAGTTCCTGATGTATTAATCTTCCTATTCTTGGGTTCTGCACACGTTTATCTCTGGTCAATGTAGATCCACAACCAGCACATAGCAATGGCAGTGCCTTTGCATGTCTCAAATCACGTAACGTCCAATCCAATACTGCATATAAATCAATAGTAGCAATGCTCTGTTCACATGATAATGTTCCCCTTTACATCACTTCCTGTTAATTTGCATGCAAATGTCTCATAAATGGTTTATCTCAGAGGCATGAATTTTTTTGTTTGTTATATTATCAATGTGTTATCAATGATAACTTTTAAGAAACACATTCATATTTATTACAAAAAAAACTGAGTCACAGGCACTTTAAAATATGTTCATATACTTTTACAATTCAGCTCGAATTACTTACTTTCACAACCCTAATCTTGCGTGTTTGAGCTCAAACCTAGTCTTCTGAGTGAGGTCAGGATCAGCATGGCTCCTGACCCTTCTTCTATRGTGACACAGACCCTGAGGTTTTCTAGGTGGGATGACTTAAAAGTCTGGAAGCAGAGCCCTGGGGTCTTGGGAGTTTAAGATGAATACGGCTTGTTCATGCACATCTTAAAGACATTAGATTTAAGCTGAGATATTGYGAGACCTTTTTATAATGCCTTGATCTTAGTATTGTGTTTCTTGTTGTTTTGGGCAGTTTTTGTGGTGGTTGATACTTTGTCCACTTGGGAAATGCTGCCATCAGGGAGAGCGGTGTGCATGTTGTGTGTATAGTGTTAAAACAAAAAGGGAATATCCTCATAAATGCAAGGTTACTAAACAAAACATCACATTTCAATGAGGTGCCCAGAGTTGTTTATTTCACCACAGCTGCCCTGAGTAAACCAGCTCAGCTTTATTTAGGGGTTTCAGCAGGTTTAGATATTAAAGCAAGCTTTTCACAAAATCTGAGCACAATGGGGTTCTGTACAATGAATAAATATTTCTAAGAACTTGCTCATAGTTGCAAGTAAAACCCATACATTTTAACTGAAAAGCTCAAATATTAATTTGACTCCAGTGCTAAACAAACTAAATGTTTCAAGAGATAAAACCAGTAAAGTGGATGAAATGGAAACACTTTTAGGTTGTTTGCTTAGAGACTAACATTACCTCCAGCACTTTTTCTTGATGATGTTTCCCAGGATTATCTCTGCTCTGTTAAAAAACAACAACAACAACAACAACAAAACATGATTAGATACAAAACCAAAAAAAAAAAAAAAAAAACCGCACAGAAGAGATGAGATTAGATCCCAGATTGCCATCTCTGCAGCAGCATGCAAACGTGAACATTATCTGCCCCAGTATCTGCATGAACACCTGATTAAAAAAACCCACAGGCAGCGCAACACAGAGGACAAACGACCGGAGTGTACGCCAGGATTTCAGCAGCAACCTTGAAAAACACCATTTATTCCATTACAGCTGTCACACGCTGCTCATTCTTCACCCAGACGATGACCGGGCAAGAGGTTAGACTGAGCAGGGTTCATAAAAACAAGCCTCCGGTGATGAATACAATTATCTAAACCACATTAGAGACACAGGTAGATCTAATTTTGGTGAACCAAAACGTATAATTCTTRGTTTGGGGGCTGAACCTTTCTAATATCTGATGTCCTAGGAGGAGGGGATATAAAGCAGACAGAAACAGAAAAGTGGAGAATACGAGACCATACTCACTTCCCCCCAGAGTAGACCTCGGCTGTATCGAACAGGTTGACCCCGCTCTCGTATGCGATGGTCATCAGCTGCTCTGCCACCTGACGGACGAGAGAAGCCTCATGACTGTTAACGTAATGAACGTCAGAAAATACGAACCCAAATTACACTTCAAAAAGAAAAAGAAATTCCCTGAAGAAGACTACGCTGTTGTTTATTAAAGTTGTTTACAGCAAATTGTGTGTGTGTGTGTTTTKAGTTTTTTTTTGACCCAGTTCTGTTTTCAAAAAGGGAAGTGGAATGAGGTCTAAAGATAAAGTCCTTCTTTTCTGCCCTTTATTATTTTTTTGTTTGTGTGTCAGTTCGTCCCAATGGTGATCAGTCAGTTATGAGCTGCTCTCAATTCTGCACCCCCACCACACCGTCCCACTCCAAGGCCAGGTCAGACCACTGGAAAGACGTCCTCTGGCAGTGAAGAATGAAACCTAACTACCACAGCCTTGGTGGAGCCAGCAGACTTAACAACCTGCCACCACACGAGGAAACCGATACCCGGGTGGGTGAGATCTCATAAGTGCTTTTCATGGATTTGAACCGACAGAATTTGTGTGTTTTGTTTTGTCTAATTGGGTCTAAAATAATGACTGCTAACGTCTGAACAATGAATGGGACGTAAAGTCTTACCTCATCAGATATCTGTCCTCCGAATGTTACCCACGTTCCTGTTAAAGGGAAATGCCAAAAGTCACGTCTTTGGCACAAACGAAACACACACACACAGGACCTTCTGCGTGTAAAGCCAGTCATACTTGACGTGCATTCATTATGACTTTGACATTTTTTTGGCTATGACACATGACAATGTGCCCTAAAGGCATTACAGCAAAATGTCAGCTAAATGTTGATKCATTCAGGTTTTGGTGAGCATACATTGATCTCTTTCTCTCAAATCAAATAGATTCATTGTTAAAACAYAACCAAATATAGATTTATATCCAGGATATCATTGTTCTCGATTTGACAGTGTGCGTTTTGTGTGTATCTACCCATGGGTGGTGGTACCCTTTGCAGTTATGCATGTTAATATTTTTTACTTCAAATTTGCCAGTAAAAAATTCACCTGCAAAGATTCGCCTGCAATTGTGTTCTCAATGGTGACTCAAGCCAAAACAATCAACACTAGATCGAGTTGAGCGGCTCTAAGCCAATCAAATTACGCTAATTTGATCATGTAACATGACAGGGACTCTCTGAACAGTCTGCTGATTAGTAGCYGAATGATGGACGAGCTTTGTCTATAGGAGATTATTATAAAACACCAGGTACTAGCTGACTTAGACTTCCTGCAATGTTTGGAGCATTGGGCGGGAAGACGTCTCCAAGACGTCGATCTCTTGGGACCTTGAGGTCTTCATGGAAGGTACGATGCCAATTCTATCGGGGACGCCCTTGTTTCTGCTTCCTCCGTGGTGGTATCCATTGGATGGTGGTTTTCAGTAGGCGTGTTGCTTTCTGACGGAGGACATGTCCAGCAAATCTTAGTTGGCGCTCTGTCCCAACTCTGTCGTTCAGAGGACGAGTGGCTGTTCTGCGATGGATCTCCTTGTTAGTGATGTGGTCCCTGTATAAGACTCGCAGGATCCGTCGTAACCACCACTGCTGGGCAACGTTCAGTCTTCTTTCAATCTTTAAAGGCAAATATGGCTGTTGGGGTGACGATCAAGTTAAAAAGGCGGATCTTTGTACTAACTGACAGCCAACTGTATTTTGTTATTTTTCATCTAATCTGAGTGTTTGAAATAAATTTGACAGACCCTTWACTGCTAGTGCACCACCCAATCTACAATGGCAAGCCAGTTTAACATAAAATTGGYTTATCCACACTAATAATTTTGGCAAAATAACACACTGGTTTGTGATGCAATCAAATGAGTGTAATTTSATTGGCTAAAAGCTGCTAGACTTGATCTTTGTTCTGATTTGCAGGCAAATTTTCAAAGGGGAATTTTTGCAAGCAAATTTCTGCCGAAATAAAAAATAAATAAACCACACACATAAAAATATGTGTAGTGGTGTGGAAGAAATATCAGAATCAGACTTTTTTTTAGACATTGAATTTATAACACTGATTTTTTTACACAACAAATGACATCATAAATTTCCAGTCATCACTGTTCCTTCAGCGATTTTATGAAYTGCTCTCAAACACGTCCTGCACTCTAAATGGGTTTATTTAGTTTATCCACTGAGGGAGTACAAAAATTATTTATATTGATTTCCRTCTCTTTTATCGGCTACATCTCAGTGGCAAGATTTCACCCAAATAAACAACCTTTTAAAACGACAAACAAGTTCATGAATCAGATTTTTGTTTCTGCTGGTTTTCCCCAGAGAAAAACTCAATGAAGAATTATCGTTTCTCCTACGAAGCTTTTGAATGTTAAAAAAATGTCTTGTTGGAAAGTATTTTTACTCTTTTATCAGAGGGGAAACCCTGCTTACAGTTTGCTCTGTCTTATCTATACTGTTACAAGGCTTTTCTATGCTTTTTCTGTACTTTTGAATGACTCATTTCCTGGATTTGTCTCAAAATCTTGTTGGAAACCTTCCCTGCTTTCAAAGCTGCAAACTTCTAAAACCTTGAAARGCATACAAATTAAAGTAAGTAAATAAGTATTGTCATTCTTTAAACAAAAACATTTTAAGGACACCAACAATAAATATATGATGATGTATACTGGTTTTACAGATACAGACAAGTTTCCACCATTCTTTCCCCAAATGATCAGTTTCTGTTAAAGTCCATTGATCCCCCTCAAAACATGTCCCATGATGCACCATCTCTCAGTAATAAGAGATAATGGCAAAACCTGTTGGTAAATCAGTAACCAAATGTGCAGCAGTGAAGCAGCAGATTGGTGTAGGCGCAGTCTGAGTTTTCCCAGCTGGCAACGGCCAAAACAAAATCTGCCCAATTTAAAAGACTGTCAACACAACTTTATAGCTGTGARAAAGAGTTTTTGAGTTTTACATGATTTCTGACCATAAAATTTTAGTGATCGGCATGAAAGATGGATTTTAACACTGATCATTCATTGCAAAAACAAATCAGCAAAATGTCTCCTGTTTTTTATGATTTTATTTAAGCTTTTAACCATTTGGAGCAGCTAAAGTGACAAAATTAAGAATATTATAGAGGCTATAAACTCTCATGTCAAAAGTTAATTGCAGCTCAAAGGTATGTTTTTCTGTTCCTGCACAAAAGCAAATGCAGTAAAATGTATAGACACTGCTCAAACAGTGGATTAACCTAKATCACATGGCAACTATAAGTTTATCATCAGCACAGCGAATTAGTGGTTCCCCTTTAAGAGCTTAACTGTGAGATGGCATCATTTTATAGCAGCAGTATTTCACAAACTGGTCAGCATCTACAGTACGTGTGAAGAATGGAAGCATATTGTCACCACAGTACCAAAAACAAAACAGAATTCTATCATACAGTGGTGGAAGCAGACATTTTTCTCAGGGGTGGCCAGACKGGGACCACTACTCACACAGGGGTGGCCAGGAAAATTACATAATTTTTTACTTGAAAGTTTCTGCAKATMTTTGTGTTTTGGTCATTTCCTTATGTCCTTATACAGGCAGTGACTACCTTAAAAACATGGGCAACAGAACCATTTTAAAAGTGGGGGGACAAGCCTTTTTTATCAGGTTGTTGAGCCTTTGTGGGTCCCTGGCTCTGTCGCTGCTGCCCCACACTGTTGGGGGGGTCTGGGGTCCTCCTCCACCAAATTTTGAACAAAGTAGATGCCCTTTCCAGCATTCTGGTGTATTTTACCAGGTTGTTAAACATACTTTTACCTACATAAATAAACACTTAATTTCATAGTTATTTCAGAGGCAGATTCTTCATTAAACTTGTTTCATTATCTTGTTGTAAAACTCACTGAGATAAGGTTAATTAATGTGTCAATTTATCATATCAAATGACTTTAGGGATGGTTTTTACTATTATATTGTTTATTGATTTATTTTTAATTTTAACACATCATTGTGCCAAACAATGATGAACTTCAACTGCATGTTATTAATAACTTTACCCAATGAACAGTTGCAATATTGATACTCACCAACAGAGAATTTAAAGGGGCGTTTCACTTTTTCTGTTTTAGTAATAGATCTACTCATAACTAACAGGGACAAAGCATCATGCAGCCTTCAGAACATAAAATAACACTGTGTTACGGTGACAAAAAAAAAAACAAACAAAAAAAAAAAAACGTTTGTCACCATAGGTCAGATTAAATAGGCATATGTTCTATATATAAAGAAAACAATCACTACTTTGTCACTTCTTTGAGTTTGATGACGTTTCAAACACTGCCACCAACTGTTCAGGAGGATTATTACACCCCTAAAAGTTGTTTCACTGTGTAAGAGGTGTGTACAGCAGGGTGGCCAATGCGGTGGTCAAAGATTTGTCTGTGGTGGCCATGGCCACCCCTGGCCACCCCCTGGCTCCACCCCATTATCATGTTGTGCCAAAAATGTTTACTGTTCAATATATTTTCTGTGTCCCTTCATTACATTTCCCTGTTTTTTTTTGTATGTTGCAGTTTGACATTGTAAGTTGGAAAAATTGAAATGTGAAAATGTTACCTGAGATTGTGTGTGTGTGTGTGTGTGTGTGTGTGTGTGTGTGTGTGTGTGTGTGTGTGTGTGTGTGTGTGTGTGTGT